CCCTATGGAAGAGTATGGTTTTGTAATGTGTTTTAGTGATTCGTAATAGCTATTTGTCGATTTCAATTAAATTATTGGATATTATTGTTGTCATTATTGAAAAATATTGGTAGCGTTTGATATTGGATTCAACTACGGAACAGACGTGACACAATTTCATGTTGTGTATGAAATACTGAAAAATAAAAATTTCAAATTCATTATAGCACACATCCATTGAGCTAGTTTGTTGTATAATAAATTCTCAAATCATAAGTTTTTATTTTAATAATTTATATTTAAAGTCACTAAGATTGATGCTCCACAAAGTTGTGGTGGAAAACTCATTTTCAGCTAAATTATGATATACTACGATTTAGTACATGCAACGGTGTTGGGAAAATATTGACTCAAATTCCTCTATAAAGAAAAAAATTTTATGGAACTTAGAACTGCATATAATTCTAATAATGTATGAAGAATCAACAATAAAGCTATGCCTCTAATTGATTCTCATTTTCAATAAATTGGCACGGGTAGTTTTTCCAAAATTATATATAAAGTTGATCGATCCACTCTTTATCAGTATTCTCTCATTCTTTTTTCTTTATTATATATTATCTCCATATATTAAAAAAATATTTTGATTTTGTATCCACCTGAAACAAAGTTATTAGGAGGATGATTGGATACAAAATTTTTCAAAAAAATCCAAACATTTTTAACTCAACCACTTTTTTTAACTCAACTTTAACTCAACCCCATTATCATTAATATTATCAATATAATTAAATAATATCAATCAATCATTCTTACACACCACCTTACCTTAATTCACTATTCATCCACTCACATAATTTTAACTAACCATCACTTCAAATTTTCTCTCACCTACTTTACATCAAATCAATTTTAATCATTTTATTTTAAATATTATTTAATATACCCACTAACAACTAACCATACCAACTTTTTCAAAATTAACCAAACCAAACAAAAAAATCCAAAGTTCTCCATCCAAATGCAACCATATTACGTTTCGATGTTATTGGATTCTCAAGTATGACAACAAAATAAGAGTGTGCAAAAATATAATTTATAGAGGAATTTGTACCACATACTATCATATTATATTTATATAACATTTTTATACCCATTTTAATTTCATTTATAAAATAGCTAATTCAACCCCAAAATATTACAATATACCAGATTTTCAGTTACAAACAATTCAACCGATATTAAGGAATGTAGGGGCAATTTAATTGTGAATAGATCATTAATTGAGACTTTGATATATCTTTACCAAAAAAACCGCCCTTAATCTTCACTCCCTACCACCCATTATCTGCAAGCAAAACTCCGAAACCCCATCTCTTCAAACATTTTCCCAACATTATATTTTCAATGACGAAGACCGAAATCCCACATCCTACTCGAAAAACACCGCTGTCAAAAAGCCCACATCCTACTCGAAAAAATTTCCCAAATAACAACAAATGAACCAGAGCCGTAACCCGATTAGGCGATTACAGAGATGGTAAACAACAACCGGGTCAGACAAATTGAGGAAGAGGTGGCGGTGCCGTTGTTGCAGAAGACCTCTGAGTCCGACTCGATTCATCCGAGGACCCAAATTGTTACCACGAAGTTCCAGAGGCTGAGGTGCACGTGTACAAGCAAGGGAAGGGCCCGATCGACGTCATCAAAACGGGCCTGGCCGGGTGGGACCAGGACCAGCTCGAGGTGCGCGAGATTCCAGTATGGATTTAAATCGATCTACGCGTTCACGCCCGGATCGGGTCGGGGGCGTGCCGATCCGGTTCAACCCGAGGAATGGCCGGTTGCTGCTCACTTACAGGGACGGTGTTTTTATTTATGTTGATGGCGAGCCCAATGTAAAATTCAGAAACAGATATTGATACTTTGTGCTTGTTTTGTTGCATTATTTAGAAATAAAAAAATATAATTCGAAATTGGTAAAAGGTTAGGTATGGGATGAATTGATTAATTTGAATTTGAATCAGTTTCAGGATAACTAATTCGCCGGTTTTTGTAATGACTACTGCCCTTTTAGGTTTAAGTTTGTATGTTGTGTGTGTTGGCCTCATATACTGTTAATAAACTAGAAATATACTGTTAATATATTGTATAATATACTGTTAAACTAGAAATATACTATTAATAAACTAGAAATATACCGTTAATAAAAACGTGAAAGATATACTGTTAATAAAACGTGAATGATGTCCTTTTAAACTAGAAATATACTGTTAATAAACTAAAAATAAACTAGAAATATTGATGATTGACCCGTCTCGTTTTTTTTTTCCTTATAAAATTTCACGTCCTTGTTTTGGTATTCATTGTTTTGTTGACGAATAATTTGGTGTTGTTTTGGCTATGATTGAATCCGTTTTGACGAAAAACTTCTCAGAGGATAATTGTCGAACACTTGGTGTGCTTGAATCGTTGATAGTTAGTTCTATTCTGTAAATATTGCGGGTATATACACTATATTTTCAGTATATGTTTCGAGGTATGAAAATTTATATGTTTTTGGGTATGAAAATTCTATACATGATTTTATATGTCACCATCAGATATGAAAATTTACATGTTGCGGGTATATGTTGCGAGTATATACAATATATACAAAGTTGTACAATGTTATAAATAGACTTCGAGTTTGAGTCACTCAATGGCGGACTCTTAAAATTCAAATCTCATATCTTTTTCATAAAAAATGGTCTGATATGAATTTGAAATGAAGAATATGATTTTTGTTTTTGTTATTTTTTTTTATTATTTTACCGGAGGAAATTAATAAATGAAACTTTTGAAATATCTTTTAGTGTATTATTGTATTGAGGTTAAGTCAAACTTTAGAGGGTGTTCCGTAGCGAATTATCAATCTCTCATTACCATTGCAAACAATTTGGTACCATTTTCAAGCGTTTGCAAGTATTCCTACGGCATCAGAGCAAAATCGAACACGCTACCAATTTCTTTAAAAATCACTCCACGTTTACATAACACATGTATCAAAGGTCAAACCTTGCGGCTCATGATATAGTAAAAACGATAGCGGAAATCACGCCACCAAAAGATAACTGATATGGATGGAAGATGTTAGAAAAAGTAACTGATATTTAGGTAATCACGTAAATAAAATTGCTTGATTAGGTATATATCCTATTACTTGTTCTAAGAAGGTAAAATCGAAAATTCTTTTATTTCGGGTAGTATGTGTAAAATTTTCCAATCTATATCTATATCTATATATATATAAAGAGGTTGTTGGAAAAATACATTAATAGAAAGTTTGACCAAATAAATATAATGTTTGACTTACTATTAATGGAAAGTTCAAAAAAATACATGTGAATCTTTAGTAACAAAATCTGAATCTTAATTTTTTGGTAACTAATTTGGAGATTCTTATGGCAAAATTTGAATCCCATTTTTTTCGTATCATATTTTATTTTTTTACCAAAATTTAAATCATATATTTTTTGGTAACAAATTTGGAGATTCTTATGCCAAAAATGTGTCAATTATTTATGAAAACAATTCTAAATGCAAATTAACTACCGTACAAATTGAATACAAATTTTGGAAACAAATAGTTGTATAATTCTTAACTAATTCTTTCAATCTTATTGGATAATTTTTTCTTTAAAAAAAAGTGTATAAATTGGATAAAACCACGTTCAATTTTTATTTTAGAATAAAACTGATATTTAGACGGGATGTACATTCAAAATTGTGTCCACATTTTTTGGTAACAAAAGCGGTTCATCTTTGATATTTAAAAATTAAAAAAATCTTAAAATATCCTTAAATATTTAACTTATTTGAGATCAAGATTTGTTAGGTCTTTTTAAGATTAGTTATGATTTTAAAGAAAAAAACATTATACAAAATTTCACTCTAAATCTCACATTCACACTTAAGATTTCATAGTATTCCTCTAGAATTTGACCATCTTAAAAGTCTCAAATCTTAAAAAATCTCAAAGTGGCACTCAAAATCCTAAACGAATATATATTATTTACCTATATTGTCAATTTACAATTATTATTTATTATCATTTACCCGTGCATCGCACGGGCCACATACTAGTTTATATAATCTTATATATGCATCCAGAATGGAGATAACATCCCACTGGGCCACTGTTATCCAATTGCAATATTTTTAACAGTGTACTTTCACTTATTCTTTCACTTGAAAGAATTTCCCAATATTCCTAGTTAAGTTCATTTCCACAACTCTCATGGAACTTGTTCTCCATCTCATCAACTTTTGCTTAATTAAGAAAATTTCACATAGTGGGGAATCACCTAAACCAAAAACCCACCATTAAAAAATATAACTAGTGATCACAGAATATCATACACATCACCAATTTTTCACAAGCAACAGAGGGAAATTNAAAGATAGAAAAGACTTTTTGCGGTTGCAAGTTGCTACCTCTGTCCAAGACTCTTTACTCTATGGTTTATTTATTTTATGAAATAAAAAAAGTATTATCTTATTGGTGGCCACAGCAGAATGGATGTGTAACAAATTATTTTTAAGCATGGATATTGGCTATAATTATAATCAACCATGTTCCATGTGAGACAATAACAGTGCAAAATTTCTCATTATGGGCGACCTTCGTACGCGTGTACGATATTTAAGAAAAAAATTGTATAAAAGTTAAGTAAAGAAGCTCTCGATAAACTTCTCAGAGTAGTAATAATTATACTAGTAAAGCAATTAACGGTATCCTAATGCTACTTGGAGCCTTAGAGGAAACTAGGCGGCTTCAAAAGATGGACATCTTGTAATAAATAAACAAGCTTAAGTGGGTTATCTTTTGCATGAGCTATGAGGACTTTACATTAATTTTATGTTTATCTATCAATTTAAGAAAATAGCTCAACTTAGGTATGGAACGTTTTATTTACTCTTATTTTGGTTGCATTGTGGTGGCTGAGAGAGAGAGAGAGAGAGAGAGAGAGAGAGAGCATTTTTTGGTAAATTGTACATTTGATCAACTTTACTATGGTATCAAACTGTACCAGTCATCTATTTTTTCAGCCCCTCAAATCAGATAAATTAGGCACAAAACATAATCAGCAGCATATTTTCTTTTATCAGATAGCAACTTGAAATTTAAGAATTAAGATGGAAAAGACAGAAGCAGAGCAGCATATTTTCTTTTATCAGATAGCAACTTGAATATGGGAATTAAGAAGGAAAAGATACAAGCAGACCACCTTAGACAGTACACAGAACATTCTATCCACTTCAATAGAAATTTTATCCTCACACGAGACATTTAGGGCGAGAACAATATGGAGAACAAATGCCGTATAAGTGCGTATGAGGATCATAATCAAATAAATACCTATCAATTAGAGCAACAATAGTAACTCCGGAGAAAAAGTATACATTTTGTTATCAGAAAAGCATATTATGTCACAGAAAAGCAGCAGGTTTGTGTGGTTCTATTGCCCAGTGGAATTTCTGCCAACCATCACATACATAACAAACAGTATTCTGTAAAACAAGAAGAGCTACAGTTCTTAAACTAGAGAACAATCATAACAACAATTTGGATGGCTGTTGCAAGTCAATTCTCACCTCGACTATGTTAACTACTCTTTATAGAGCCGATGAATTCTGCACGAAGCTATTAATTACATTGTATGAATTGTCTCAAAGCTCACAAGCTCTTAGGATTTTTTTTTTTTTTTTTTTAATTTAGANAAGTTCCTGAAAAGAGATGTTAGGGGGCTTTTAAGCTATTTCAAGAACAAGTAGAAGGCTGCACCCTTTTATTTTTCTTTTATTTATCTTAATTTTTTATTGTCCATTGCAAATGGAGCTGGAAGAGTCATTGTTGACAATTCTCCTGGCATAGTGCTAATAATGGACTAGATCAAAATGACTCAATTAAATTCTAGTGCTTCTTCTATTAGTGAAGTTTCTAGAAAAAAAAAATATCAAACGGCTCAATGCACCTTGGGTCGCTACGGAAACAGCCTCCTTGTATAATTACAAGGGTAAGGTCTGCGTACAACTGACCCCCATACCCCAACCTGTTGGGAATATACTGGGTATGTTGTTGTTGTTGTTGTTGTTATCTTAATTTTTTTCTAACTTGGTAATTTTGGGTAAATCCATAATTAACACCTTAAAATCACCCCTAACTAATCTAATTCAAACACTGTAATAACTTAATTTTAAGAGAGAAACACCCTCTGAGTTGATACCAAAAGTTGGTGAGTCTAAATTTACATGTTCCCACTTGCCATTCAGCAGGAGATGAAGGGACAGCCAATATAATGTTGGCCGAAAACATAAGGTGGGAGCATGAAAGAATGTTGAGGTACACTACACATTCTTCTAAAGCCATTTGGCTGCTGAAAAGACCAAACTGTCCTTACCCTATCCAAATCTAAAAGAGCTAATGTTGTCTACTCAAGAAAGAAAAACTTTAAGACTTTGCTTTAAATTACAGTTCCAGCCCACCAGCAGAGAGTTTACCAGATATGTAGCACATAAGATATAAGTCAACTATTTTAAATTACTTGCAAGAAAGGTAGTTCACATATGCACTGTACCTCATACAAACTTACAAAAGATTATACATTTTAAATTTTCTTTGCCTTGCTAAGCACTTTAGCTATAAAACGCTTCCTCCTTTTCTCTCCCACTATCAATACATCGGCTTAATGAAGAAATATAGAAAGAATGTAAAGCATGAGTTTAGGTATTTGACGCAACTGATAAGGACTTCAAGAATTTTAATATGGGTCCCTTCTAATCCTAAAGCTGAGTGCTGATTGACTCATCAAATTATTTATTTATATTGACATCCGAATTTTTCCATATCTTTCTAAAGAATTGTTCAACTTTATAATTGACCTAGATTTCGTCATCAGTGGGAGATACCTGATTGGCCAGGAGATTTTAATAACATTCTTGAATTACCTAGCTTTTATCAAAAGATGACCCCTCCTAAAATTGACTTACAAGATATATG